GGCGTTATCCGTTGTAGGCGTGGTCGTCACTATACTGCCACGGGCAGGGAAGCACAGTTACTGTGTTTTTCGACAGAATATCGAGCAAGTTCGGATCGATAAGATTTGAAGGTGGCGAGCAAGAATCAAAAAGAGGGAGGGCAAAGCAAAAGGTTTCATGCCTAACACATGACGAGAAAGGTGTAACGGTTAGAACATGAGGAACCAGAACATCAGCTCTAGTGAGGCAGCAGAGCTGGCGTCATCTAGTCAATCAAACTGAACTAAAACCTAAAACCACCGCTAAGGCCTCGTAGCCTTGAACATTTGGGCTCATGGCCAGGGTCACAGAAAGCGTAGGTGGGGAGGATGAAGTGGGGCGATTAGCGAAGCAGATAACTGGTAACAGGAATCTCAGAAACATGGTGTACAACGGAACTGTAGAGCCTCCACGGTGTCGCTGTTGTGGAGCCGGGTATAAGAGTTCCTTAGAAGAGTGAGATGATGCCAACGCACGAGCTGTATCACAAACTATATAGAAAGTTTTGAATGTTGCGGGAAGCACAGACATATAGAAACGGTTAAATTTGAAACGAAAGTTTCAGCAAATTGGAATGAATATGCCGTGGAGGCAGCTGGGGCCAGGTAGGAAGCTTGTTTATATTTGCAGTTAATGGAACGGGTGGGCAAGAGGGCGCGGTCGAGAGAAGGAAGGGAATAGCTTCGGGTGTACTACCAAACTGGGTATGTCAGTGCCGTGCCATCATTGGCCTGACGTACATCAAAGCGGACGTCACATTTAGGGTCATTGGACTGGGATGTGCAGTTCTTTGAGCGGTGGGATACTTCTCAGGCTGGCCAAGGAAACAAGATGGAACGAGGCCGACATAAGATGAAAGGGTAACCTGTGAATGTAGATCATAGGCCATGTGAAGTGGATAACAGCCGCTGGCTATTCGCACAATGAGGTTGATCTCTCGAAATCTACGGCATTTTCAGACTTGCCACGTCACAGCGTAGGATGTCTATGTATAATGTATATGCTCCTGTGTCATTGAAAATCATTCACTTTGGCGATTTGTTTAAGTGAGCGAATTCTCAAAGTTAATAAACACCACCAACTGTGAATACGTTACCTGATGGTAAAAAATCGCGAATTGTGGAAAACGTTGACTCATATACAATAAACGTAACGTTCAGGCATTTTTCCGCCGGAAAAAATTTTCTCAACATTCTAGAATCTAAATGGCCTTTATAGATACAACATATGCGTGGGCGCATTCGTGCAAACAAATCTTGGTCGATGATTCTTTATCGCCAGTAGAAATTCCGTAGTGCAAGTTAATTATTTGCTAAATGTCGTGCACGTTTGCTGGCAAAAACCAGATGCACGTTTGAAAAACCAGAGTTTTCCATTATAGGTTGCGAATTATGCTAGGAAGACCTCGAGGTTTATCGATTAGGAACATGGAACATAACATACGCATAGCGGGCAGGTGAACGAACCTGACCGACACACACGACTAGCATGCGGCTAGAGGTACACAATGCCTAACTAACTAGCCACATAGAACCTACGTCGATCACACCTGACAGCTGAACGAACCTAACCGACACACAAGACTAACATGCGGCTAGGGGTACACGGTGCCTAACTAACTAGCGCACCAATTCCATCTGTAACGGAGAAAAGGCTCAAAATGTACGTCATGGAATGTTGGGATATATTGGTCGTTTTTAAGTGTACATATGTCCTTCTGGGAGGCGCATTTTCTCCTTCGTGAGGAGTCTGCATTTGGCCGCTGAAGTCCTGAAATGCGAGGAAGCTAAGAACCAAAGGTAATTTATTTTCATGTGGACTCACCTTTGGGATAAGCCTGAAGGGCACCACCACACAGTGGACAAGGTTCACCGTCACAACAGTCGGCGTGATGTGACACGCGTTCCGTTGCACACCAGCGGTCACTAGTAGTAGTCGGCCGGTCACAGAGCACACAANTCATACCGCCAGAAATTTAATAATTGTACTCTAGGTTTGATTTTAAAACTCTGGCGTTACCTCTTAGGGGTTATTTTCTGCTTCCCGACTTGGAGCTTCACAAGCCTGCTGTTTGTTTACAGAGGGGGTCTCTCTATGGGAGCCCCACTTGCGCGGTGCCCTCATAATAATAATAGCAATAATACTAATGCTTATTCTTGGCTTTTGGGTGGCATACCATTAGGCATTTTAATAATGGTACAGTCAGAATACAAGCTTGACTGACAGATATTGTGGGAACATGGGGTTAGTAAAAGGGACCGCGTCATAAGTATTGGCGTTATCCGTTGTAGGCGTGGTCGTCACTATACTGCCACGGGCAGGGAAGCACAGTTACTGTGTTTTTCGACAGAATATCGAGCAAGTTCGGATCGATAAGATTTGAAGGTGGCGAGCAAGAATCAAAAAGAGGGAGGGCAAAGCAAAAGGTTTCATGCCTAACACATGACGAGAAAGGTGTAACGGTTAGAACATGAGGAACCAGAACATCAGCTCTAGTGAGGCAGCAGAGCTGGCGTCATCTAGTCAATCAAACTGAACTAAAACCTAAAACCACCGCTAAGGCCTCGTAGCCTTGAACATTTGGGCTCATGGCCAGGGTCACAGAAAGCGTAGGTGGGGAGGATGAAGTGGGGCGATTAGCGAAGCAGATAACTGGTAACAGGAATCTCAGAAACATGGTGTACAACGGAACTGTAGAGCCTCCACGGTGTCGCTGTTGTGGAGCCGGGTATAAGAGTTCCTTAGAAGAGTGAGATGATGCCAACGCACGAGCTGTATCACAAACTATATAGAAAGTTTTGAATGTTGCGGGAAGCACAGACATATAGAAACGGTTAAATTTGAAACGAAAGTTTCAGCAAATTGGAATGAATATGCCGTGGAGGCAGCTGGGGCCAGGTAGGAAGCTTGTTTATATTTGCAGTTAATGGAACGGGTGGGCAAGAGGGCGCGGTCGAGAGAAGGAAGGGAATAGCTTCGGGTGTACTACCAAACTGGGTATGTCAGTGCCGTGCCATCATTGGCCTGACGTACATCAAAGCGGACGTCACATTTAGGGTCATTGGACTGGGATGTGCAGTTCTTTGAGCGGTGGGATACTTCTCAGGCTGGCCAAGGAAACAAGATGGAACGAGGCCGACATAAGATGAAAGGGTAACCTGTGAATGTAGATCATAGGCCATGTGAAGTGGATAACAGCCGCTGGCTATTCGCACAATGAGGTTGATCTCTCGAAATCTACGGCATTTTCAGACTTGCCACGTCACAGCGTAGGATGTCTATGTATAATGTATATGCTCCTGTGTCATTGAAAATCATTCACTTTGGCGATTTGTTTAAGTGAGCGAATTCTCAAAGTTAATAAACACCACCAACTGTGAATACGTTACCTGATGGTAAAAAATCGCGAATTGTGGAAAACGTTGACTCATATACAATAAACGTAACGTTCAGGCATTTTTCCGCCGGAAAAAATTTTGTCAACATTCTAGATTCTAAATGGCCTTTATAGATACAACATATGCGTGGGCGCATTCGTGCAAACAAATCTTGGTCGATGATTCTTTATCGCCAGTAGAAATTCCGTAGTGCAAGTTAATTATTTGCTAAATGTCGTGCACGTTTGCTGGCAAAAACCAGAGTTTTCCATTATAGGTTGCGAATTATGCTAGGAAGACCTCGAGGTTTATCGATTAGGAACATGGAACATACGTCAATCATAGCGGGCAGGTGAACGAACCTGACCGACACACACGACTAGCATGCGGCTAGAGGTACACAATGCCTAACTAACTAGCCACATAGAACCTACGTCGATCACACCTGACAGCTGAACGAACCTAACCGACACACACGACTAACATGCGGCTAGGGGTACACGGTGCCTAACTAACTAGCGCACCAATTCCATCTGTAACGGAGAAAAGGCTCAAAATGTACGTCATGGAATGTTGGGATATATTGGTCGTTTTTAAGTGTACATATGTCCTTCTGGGAGGCGCATTTTCTCCTTCGTGAGGAGTCTGCATTTGGCCGCTGAAGTCCTGAAATGCGAGGAAGCTAAGAACCAAAGGTAATTTATTTTCATGTGGACTCACCTTTGGGATAAGCCTGAAGGGCACCACCACACAGTGGACAAGGTTCACCGTCACAACAGTCGGCGTGATGTGACACGCGTTCCGTTGCACACCAGCGGTCACTAGTAGTAGTCGGCCGGTCACAGAGCACACAAAACCCCAAGTGAGCGTTTCCAGACCGCCATCTGAGTTCGGGTGCAGTATCCTCGACCACCAACGGCAGGTCGTCGGTTGCAGACTTTGAGGCTTGACGCAGCAGGATTTGTCCCTGAACAATCAACCGCTTAAAGATGGCAGTGGCCCTCTCGAGTTCCAGCCTCTGAGGCTTATCCATCACCCGATTCAGTTGTTTACGATGGCCATCGAAAGCTGTCGGGGGTGGTTTGGGAACAACTGTAAGGGGTACACCTTTTCCCGGTAGGTTGTAATCCGACAGCCATCGTTGGTGGATTGGAAAGCAAGCCACGAAGTCAATGATGAATGACTCTCACAGTTCGGAACGGACTGATCTCGAAATACAGAGAACAGGTGTACGCAAGGGAGCCACGTCGCCTCGTAGTAGGGGCATGTGCGTTCTCCAGCACAGGTGTCGACAGTCTGGGAGCATCTGGGTGTTTGCACCACAAACTACAAGTTAGTTTACGTAGGTTGACCTCACCCTGTTTGTTCCAACACTTTCATGCGGCAGCCGAGGCGGTCGTAGTTTCAAGTGCCTCAAAAAGACAGAGCATATATATGTTGTCATTCGACAGACCACGTCAAGAAAATAGGCGTCACCCTCCAGGGTTTGCCGTCTGTCGAGCTGGTACGACATATGCATCTCGAACTCCCGCATGAGCCACTCGGCGTGTCGGGACACCTTTTGAATTGCATGCTCCAACATGTCAGAGTGGTGCATTCGATCTTTAAGGCGGCCGTTCGCACTCTCCACTCGAATGTTGGTCACAGTGCCGAAATGAACCATTCCGGACTGTGCGTGTATGGCCAATTTTCGGGTGATGTACAACCAGTGAGCTGTAAGATGAGAAAGAAATCGAGGATCGGTTCGGTGCAGAGGCTGCAGGTCTTGCCGGAATCCGTGTGCTTTCTTTCCTCACCAGCTTATCATAACTCTTATCCCTGAGCCTACGCGCACTTACGCCCGGAAATTATATAATAACATTTACTGAATTTTACTTGTTTAATTTTCCACCGGTGCGAAAGTATTTGGTGACCATTTAAGTTTTATTTTCGCTTTCGCTCGACAATGGCCCTGAAATGGAAAATGCATAACTCAATCGCTTTCGTGAGAGCATTCGGCGTCAAATTAATGAAGGCTAATTTACCGAATACTGTGATTGCCGACAGTGAAGAAGCGGGATCCCAACGATAAGCGATGTTGGCACTCAGTGACACGTTATTAATAGCAGTCAAATGTGGAGCTGCGTGGAAGTGTATACGAGACAACGGTTAGAGCTGAGACCCGAACCCTTGGATGCAAATCCCTGAGAAATTTAAAACGCTTGCCCAAAGGGGTTGCTGCAACAGCCATTAAGTCACTACGAAGGAGCCCGAAATCTGATCCGCCCCTTGGTTGCACTATATGATACCAAGGAATATTTTGCGATGTATTCAATATTTTATCAGACGTCCGAAACAGCCGTCACTTGTGTGGACATGACGTGCCACCCATAAGTTTGCCAAGACCATCTCAACAGTTTTAGGACAGTCGGTTCCTGAATAAACTGGTTTTATTACTACACTCGTTACCACCCAGAGGATGCGCCTGCAAAGCTTTTCCGCACAATGCACAAGACCAGTGATCGCAGCAATAGCCTGACAGGGTCCATCGGCAGGCCACACAGACCACTAGGGACGTCATGCGTTGGTGAAAATTGCCACCTTGTTTGGTTGCGGTTGTCGGACAGCCTCTGGAATCTACCGTCAGGGACAGTGGCCAAATAGCGGTTAAACAGCAGCTTTGTTTGCAAAATGGGATGGCTCACGTATCTTGTGGCTTTGCCTGTCTCCAACAACTTCCTTTTTCGACCACGTTTCAATATGCCAAGGTAGTCCTGAGTGTCAGTTGTAGTCTTGGAGCCGGAGACGGAGGTAGGTTGCATTCGGTTTGCCGCCGTTTACGAAAGCGAGAGAAAGACTCTTGTAGATAACCCATGTGTGAAGACTTAAGTTGCCGTAGGGGAACGCACGTTGGTGGACTGATAGAAAATGTGTGCATGTACCAGCCGACCAGTTGCTGATTGAAAAGATTTAGAGGTTTCATCATTAAGAATGGGTTGATGGCCATGCATCGGTTTCGTATGCTTGTTACAACAAGCGCGAGAGCACAGTTAGTGGTATGTCATAATGCGACAAATCACATTAGCAATGGTTGCCAAACCTCCCCAGATTTCTCACCTGTCAAAACGGTAAATGGTGTCCAACCTGTACTCGTGCATGGGCCATCCGCTGCCCCAGAAGACCCTTAGGACGGCCCCTCCCAGTCCATGGAAGTGGTGAGCAGCCCCTCCCGAACAGCACTCTCTGTTCTCAGTATAGCTGTTGCTCATTCTTCTTGATCCCACCTGGCAATAGCCGCAGAGTTCTCGTTCATGTACACGGATTCACAGATTCACGGATTGATACACAGTCCATGGGGTGAGCAGCCCCTCCCGAACAGCACTCTCTGTTCTCAGTATAGCTGTTGCTCATTCTTCTTGATCCCACCTGGCAATAGATAGCCAGTTCTCGTTCATGTACACGGATTCACAGATTCACGGATTGATACACAGGATCGAGGCTTTTGCCCAATTTTCCCGGGTCGGTTTTGTTCTTGTCGGTCAGTGGCTGTCGTTCACTTGAAAGGCACAAGTGAAAAAGGGTGTAGCAATGCTCTTTATGTTCTCAGCGCGGGGCATTATGTTTGTCAGCGCGAGGATTCGCATAAATAAATGTCTAATAGTGCTTTAAATTGGGTTCTAGAAGGAGCGTGTACAACCGTCGGAGGAAGGTCATTGCACGCAGCTACTACCCAAAATGAAACAAAAATTTGTCTAATGAATGTGTGTGCCCTGAGCTTGAAAATTTTTTTACTATGTCCCCGCCGGGTGTTTGCTGGGTCAACGGTAAAAAA